CTTTTTGGGGAGGACTCTGGCTTTTCCTCCCTCGAACCCTCTACGTTGGCTGACTTGGAAGGTCAGAAACACCTCTGTTCTGAGACAGCAGTCGTCAGTGCAGCCGTGTCTAACGTGGAGCCGTGTTGGGGCTTCCGGAAAACAGAGATCACAGGGGCCAAAGTCTTGTTTCTTGGGCTGAACCCCAGAAGAAGTGGCCGGTTTCCGATGAGGAGCCTTTTATGTGCAAAACACACATGGAATCCCACTGGGTTTAAACCAGGGAGGCCTGGGGAATGGAGCCCGCTGGCAGGGTCTTTAATTTCGCTCACCCGGGCCCTGCACCCGTGAGCAGACGGAGCATGGTGGGCAAATGGCCTCTGCTATTTAAATTGTTATTTCTCTCTCTCCCCGGCGGCCTGGTGTGTCTAATTGAATTTGCATGAGTTTCATGCCATGTATGGTGTCTCTGCTGTCACAGTGACAAGCCTTTGTTTTTGTTCAGAGCTTCACGTACTCCGAAGCTCTCTCATGCACGAGGGCTTGTTCTTTCCACCCATAGCCCTGTGAAGAAGGGACCATTTTCAGATCAGGAAATTGAGGTTCAGAGAAGTTGAGTGACATGCCTAAGTTCACGCAAGCAGCTGGTGGTGCAGTCAGGACAGAAACCCTGTCTCCATCACCTGACAGGGGCCCCTGGGAGTCAACCACGGGGAGACCCTAGAGTCTGCTTGCCCCATGGTACAAATGGGGGAAACTGAGGCCCGCGGGGAGGCTCCCTCCGATGCCTCCATGGGAGTCTGTGGTGGTGCCTAGGACCCTTGTCGCCTCTGCCGACTGCCACTACCCATTTCTTATCCTGCTCCTTTGGCATCTGTCCCTCTGTGCCCCCAGGGAGAAGGGAGCGTTGGGTCCCTGTGGGAACCTCGAGAGTCAAGCCCCTAACGGACATGATGATGATGGTAACAGTAATGGTGATGGCAGTGGCAGTTATAGAGGACGTGATCCAGGCCCACAATCTCCTATCTGCAATTCAAAATCCAAAATTCCAAAATGTTTTCTCGTGCATTTTCGCGGGAGGGTGTTAGTTGTCCTCACCGGGTCCCTCTGAGTGTGCAAGCTCGTATGTTTCACTGCAGAAACGGGCATGCGTGCGATTATGGGGTGTTGCCCCTGATCTCGCTGTGCATGTTATAAGCACACAGTACCTACGCGATATAACTTTGCACAATCTGAAAACTTCTGAGTTCCCAAACACATCTGGCCCAGGGTTCCAGATTAAGGGCGTGAGGACCTGAAGAGGTGAGAGTTGGGGTGTCTCCTCTACTCACCCCTGCTCCTGTGTGGCTCTCCAGTGCATGGGAGGAAAAGCCCAAGTCCTCACGGAGGCCTCGCTGGCCCATGCGGCTGCCGTGTCTCTCCACTCGGCCCTCCACCTGCAACCCACCTCCCCAGGCCCCCGCGGTGGGCTCGCTCACGTGCTTCAAGCACTGGCTCAGACACTGTCCTCTCCTGAGGCCCACTGAACCCTCCCTAGGTTCCGCATAACCCCGGTGCCCCCTGTCCCGGCTGTCCCCACACCTCTTGTGACTTTCTAGCACTAGCTTAGTTGTCTCTTGCCTGTCTCCCTGTTGCACCCCGACTACCCAGATCCACCAGGACAAGGATCTGTGACTGCTGTGTCAAACAGTACACTGCTGTGTCCCTAGCACTTATAGCAACGCCTGGCGCACAGTAGGTGCTCAATAAATCCTTGCTGTCTGAATGAATCTGATAGAATTATTGCAATTATCCTTTGAGTTAAGCGCAGCTAGGAGCCTCTACTTTTATAGATGAGAAGGCTGAGGCTCTGACAGGTGTTCTTGTCATTTGTGGGTGGCCAAGTAGAAATCAGGCCTAGGTCTGCATTGCTCCAAAGGCCCCTTCTACAGGACTGCACACATGTATGCACACATGCACGCACAGCACACACACACACACACACACACACACACACAAGTAGATGTTCGATCACTTCTGTCAAGTTTAGCTGAATTCTCTTCCTGCTCATTGCCAGGAAAACCTCTCTGAACTGGTGGAGCCGGGCAGTGACAGAAAGGCCAGTGCCAGCCCCCGGGCCTCCGGGTCCCTCCATTCCTTGCTGGGGGCAGGGAGCTGAGGGTCTGCAAGGAGCCTGATCCTTTGTGCGAGGAGCCAAGGGCCTCAGGTCTGCAGCCCAGACAGTGGCCTGGGGCCTGCTTCCAGCTGGAGCCCCTCCCTCCTCCACTGTGGACGCCCAGCCGCTCTCGGCCCGTCCGTCCCTGCTGCCTTTGCCCTGGCCGTCCCCTCTGCCTGCGACCCTTTTCCCTTTTTCTCTGACCTCTCAGTTGAGAGGTCACCTCCTTAGACAGGCTCGCCCTGCCTGCCCAGCCCAGCCTCCTAGTGCACACTGCATCGTGCCTCAGCCAGCGGTGCCCTCATTGTGCTTGTCACGGGGTGTCAGAATCCGTGACTGCTGCGGGCGCTGGTTTACTTATGTTCTCTAACGGGTCTCCTCTGTTGGCTGGCCAGACCCATGAGGGCAGGGGCTCCTGTCTTGGTCGCTGCTGTGTCCTTGGCACTTTGCACAGAGTTGGACACACAGAAGATGCTCAGTAAATATGTACAGATGAATGAATGAAAGAATGAATGAATGAAGTAATAGTCTGTGCAAGAGGATTGCGGGAGAGAGGTCGACGGCTGGGCGGGCCTCTGGCGAGACTCTCCTCCCTCCCGGGCCCTACCTCGCCTTGTGTCTTGCTGAAGCTCTGCATGCCTTGGTGTGTTTCGTCCCGATAAGCCTCCCTAACAGGCTATTGCCATTCCGAATTTACAGATGGGGAAACTGACGCTTGTGGAACTAGTCCAGTGTCACCCACTGGCAAGTGGCAGACTGGACTCCAAACTGCAGTGGTCAGAGCCTCCCCACGCCGCAGGTGAGCCCCAGGTGGGCTGGGGCTGTGGGGAGCCCTGGCCTGTCGCTGGCACCCCAGGCTCCCCCAGTGCCCAAGGTCTCCAAGGCCTCACGCCAGCCAGGAGGCTGCGGCGTCCCCTGGCTGTGGCTCAGAGCATCTCTTCTTGGAAGGGCTGGAGGGGCCTGTGCTCTCTGCGCCCAGCCTCGGGCCTGGCCCCCAGCGGCCGCATATCTGCTGGGGGAGGTTGTGTCCCGCGGCCACTTCCCGGCATGGAAGTGGCCGGCAGGACTTTACTCCTAGCTGAGGGTGTACCACGAGGGCAGGAGTGCTGGCCGGGGTCGGCTCTGCTGCCCGCCAGCTGCTCTGCGCTGGGTTTGCACTGGCTTTTCTCCGCGTCACAGGCTGTTGTGACGCTTACAGCAGAAAATGGCCTCAAAAGTATTTTCTGAGCGGTGACCACCTGAACTAGGGGAATGCTTGTCACCCGCCAGTTCACACCAACAGACACGCCGGGGACCATGTGCCCCTGGGCTTCCAGATGGCCCCATACTGGGGGTGAAGGTGCTGTCTGCAAGTCCTGACTCTGGGTTGCGTTGGTCCTGCCGGGAGCCTCGCCCCGTGCTGGGATTTGGGTGGGAGGGCCGCGGAGCAGGACCCCTGCCCATGCCCAGCTGGAGCTTGGCTGGGCCCAGCCTCCCTGTCCCGGGGGTCTGAGGCCACAGGTGAGGGGCAGGTGGAGGGGTTAAGGGCCTGTTCCTAGGAATCCCCAGGACCAAGGAGGCTGCTTGGCAGGGTCCTGGAAGCGCATTGGGGGCCTGCCTCTAGGCCTCTGGCCTGGGGACGGAAGGCATTTTGTACCTCTTGTTACGTGGGATAAGAGCCATGCGAACATGTCTGCACATGAGCCAGCGTCACATGTGTTGGGGGAGGTAAGCCTGCGTTTGGAGGCCATGGGCCTGGAAGCACACGCACAGCTCTCACACGCATGCAGACTCACACGCACACTCACACCTACACACCCAGCGTCTCTAGGAGGGAACCGAGGCTCCCTGCTCAGGCAGACAAGGCCCCTGAGTCCTGTTTTTTTTTTTTTTTTATTGGAGACAGTCTCACTCTGTTGCCCAGGTTAGAGTGCCGTGGCGTCAGCCCAGCTCACAGCAACCTCAGACTCCTGGGCTCAGGAGATCCTCCTGCCTCAGCCTCCCGAGTAGCTGGGACTACAGGGATACGCCACCATGCCCGGCTAATTTTTTCTATATATTTTTGGTTGTCCAGCTAATTTCTTTCTATTTTTTATTAAAGACGGGGTCTCTTGCTCAGGTGGTCTAGAACTCCTGACCTTGAGCAATCCTCCCGCCGCGGCCTCCCAGAGTGCTAGGATTACAGGTGTGAGCCACTGCGCTCTTGAGTCCTTTCCCTCCAAATTTTAAGCCGCCCGCTTCCTCCCGTTATCACCCTGGAGCAAGCCTTCCCCACCCTGCCACACCTTCTCGGCCCGAGGAAGCGGTCGGGTCTCCCCCAGGTCACACCCCCTGCAGTATACACGAGGGGACATCGGGGTCTGGAGAGGCGTGGGGACCTCTCTGAGGTCATACACGGTTGGGCTTAGAACCGGGGCTGAAGTGGGGGCAGACCCAGCGAGTGCTCACGCCCCCCAGCCTGGCTGCGTCCCTCTGGGACCGCCCGGGGCCATGTGTGAGGGGACAGGGAGCTACGCTGTGTCCTCAGAGGCGGCCTCGCCCTACCACCGCGACCCACTGTCTGCCCAGAGCATCATCAGAGCTGCCTTGGGAGGTGGCGAGACTCCTCCCGTCCCTGGAGGCAACGCAGTAAAGGCCGGGCACCCACATAGGACATGGGCCAGACGGCATGGGTTCCGCCTGGAAGGGTCCGGTAAGGCCCTGGCTGCACCAGGCCACCAGGGGTGAGAAGCAGGGCTGGGAGCCCAGCTGGGGCTGGGAGCAGATGGGGATCCTGGTGGCCCAAACCTCCCCGGGGCGCCAGAGAGGTGGCGTGCGGGCCCAGGGTCAGACTTGGGAAGAACTGGGATCTCAGGTGTCCCGGCCTCGGCCCGGAAGAGGTACTCACCCAGCACCCCCAGCAGGTACAGGGCGGCCGGCCGCGGTTGCAGAGACCCCATGGGTGCAGCCTCTTCCCGTCCCAGCGTCGGGGCGCTCGCTCCCAGGGCTGAGGGTGTCTGGCCCAGCGCCTGGCTCCTGGGGAGGGCGGGGCGGGGCGGGCGGCACACGCAGGGGCAGGGGCGGCGGGGAGAAGCAGTGTGGGGCCTGCGTCATCTGTATTTGAAGTTGAACTGTCAACTTCCTCCCAGAAACCATCTGCCCCAGTTCGAATGGCGGCCCTGGCCGCTGCCAGCTTCCTGCCTGGGGTGCCAAGGCCGGGGCAGCACCCGTGGCCACCACACTCGGGGCCGGGCCACACATTCTGGGGGACGAGGCCGGGGCAGCGCCCGTGGCCACCATATTCGGGGCCAGGCCACACATTCAGGGGAGGCTGGGGCAGTGCCTGTGGCCACCACACTCGGGCCAGGTCACGCATTGGAGGGGCGAAGCGGGGGCAGCGCCCGTGGCCACCACACTCGGGGCCACGCATTGGGGGCCAAGGCTGGGGCAGTGCCTGTGGCCACCACACTCGGGGCTGGGCCACGCATTGGAGGGGCGAAGCGGGGGCAGCGCCCGTGGCCACCACACTCGGGGCCACGCATTGGGGGGCCAAGGCTGGGGCAGTGCCTGTGGCCACCACACGCGGGGCCGGGCCACGCATTCAGGGGGCGAGGCCGGGCAGCGCCTGTGGCCACCACACTCGGGGCCGGGCCACGCATTGGGGGGCGAGGCTGTGGTGGGGCGCCTGGAAGGAGGCGCCTGGCTCCGGCCGAGAGCAGGCCTGGGGGAGGCGGGGGCGAGAGGCCCCGGGTGGAGTGGCCCAGAGGGCTCCAGGCTGTGCTGGGCTGAGAGGCGGGGAGAGGGGGCGTCGCGTCGGTCTTGCTGCAGACTCTGGCCCCAAACCCCTCGCTCTCCCTGGGGACGAGGTCAGCGTTTAGGGGAATCCCCACAGGTGTCAGTGTGCCAGCAACGCCAGAGCTGAGCACCGCACTGTGTGTGTGTGTGTGTGTGTGAGAGACCTCCGTGTTGATGTCTGTGCGGTCTCCATGTCGGCGTGTGTGGTCTCCATGTCGGCGTGTGTGGTCTCCATGTCAGCGTGTGTGTGATCTCCATGTCAGCGCGTGTGTGTGATCTCCATGTTAGTGTGTGTATGATCTCCATGTCAGTGTGTGTATGATCTCCATGTCAGCATGGGTGTGATCTCCATGTCAGTGTGTGTGTGGTCTCCATGTCAGCGTGTGT